GGAAACAAACCACATGGCCCATGAATATGGCACCTACCCTTCACTATGTTAACTTGAAATCCAGCAGTATTATTTGTTGTTTGAAATAGTAAAATGAGTCATGAATTAGAATCTGCAGTGTATGTAGGTTATTCATGACAAGTTTTTTTATCTGGTATACTTAAAATCCTGGAATTCAACACTGTTTTGAAACCTTCTTTAGACCATGTTTATGTTTATTTTGGTGCAGTGACATTATACAAATTCAGAAAGAAAGGGACTACTTGAGAAGCGGGTCCTCTAACTTGTTTATCTGATTTTGAATAATAATACAATTGTTGGACTTGTTGAATCCCTAAGATGTTGAAAATTCGCTCACAGCTGAATCTACATAATTGCTCGCCAATGGTCAGGCATTTGCTGATAGTTTTTGACCCAGGTATCTTGCTAATACTGTAATTGTTACATTTGGCACATACCACTTCGTACGAGAAATGCTACAAACAAGATATATTCGATAATACAGCTTTAATTTTTTTCATGTAAAACTGACTTTGCATATCTTCTATATTGGTACATGTACTTGCATATTAAATTCCAGAGATGTGTGCATGGATAGCTAAAATTAAGTTGTATTGGAATGATCAATACAATATACAATAAATGTAATTTTGTTTTATGTGCATTTGTATTAAAGCAAATACAATACGCATATAGATATTATGCCTATGTGTACACAATTTTTTGTGATTGAATCAATAATAATTTTATTTTTTTCAAAATTATTACCAATCAATTCTGTGATTATTTAAAAAAATAAATCTGGCAACATTTTTATAAGTAGTGATGGAATTTGTCTATGCAAATGGTTATAAATAAAGGAATTTTATATTATAATATTCATATTTGTTGGGGTATTGAAGTTATAATTACTTTTTTCAATGAAATGTTCTTGTTTTCTAAGATGTTAGGGTTCTTCATGATTTGATAATGTTATGGCATTCATGAAACAAAATTTCACTAAATTTAAATAAAAGGTGCCGTCCCTCACCAAATTCGCCATCTCTCAAAATTTCACTAAAGTCGGCATCCCTAAAAAATTCACCAAAGTTGCCTTTTCTCACAATTTCACTAAAGTCACAGCCCCTCAAAATTTTTCTAAAGTCGCAGTGCCTCTAAATTTCACCAAAGTTGCCGACACTCATTGTTGTAGAATTTTCACTGCTACAAAATTTCATAATTTTTCAGACTCTGATATTAAAATGGTTTACTGTATTTCCAATCTTAGTGGGATAAATAAGTTCAAGTTTTGTCTTTTGTGTATAATTTTCACTTTATTTTTAGCTCATGGTTTGACTGGACCTGTTGTCGTTCGTCCGTCAACTTTTTACATTCAAAGGACCTCTTCTCCAAAACTGCCAGCTGGATTGCCTTGCTATTCATAACACACCTACCTGGGATGGTTCTTTGTCAGAGTTGTTCATTTTACTACAGCACATGTAAACCTCTGTTTTAAGAATAATATTGTCGTCATTTATGATTAAATTTTTTTGAAATTACACCCAGACTTATTTTCATGGCATCATATGCAAGTGTCTATTTTTATTGCATTTTAAAAATAAATTGTTGATTATTTTTGTGCATTTTTGACTTCTCTGAAACCGCCTGCCACATTGCTTTGGAATTCATAATGTAGACACATGGACTGGTCCTCTCAAGTTTGTTTATTCAGTGAAAATATCTCAATTTTTTGGTTTTTTTTTTGGATTTTTTCACTTTCTGATTTGTTATATATGGACTACTGTAAAATCTTTATTAGAAACTGTGGACGATACTGAACAGAGAAGGTGGGAGGGACTAAAACACCTCCCCAAAATCGTCAAGGCCTGGTCAGCATCATCCCAAGGCCCCAGGTCAGGGTCACATTTCATATTGTCTAACATTGTCATTCTCAATTCAGTACAGTAACCAAATATATTGTATTGCAAAAATATATTCTGGTAATAGTGACAACAACTTCATGTTTCAGCTTCAATTTCCTGTACACCCACATCATCAATTATACATAATTTATTATCCATGCATTAAATACAGAAATACGTTTCCCTCTTACGGGATATGCCCTTCCAGTGACCATTGCCACAATTACTAAACTGTCAAATTTCCACTTCTTCTACCCACCTAGTAACTGCCACTACCCTCTGCATTTGTTAATTACAGCAGAGCTCTACCGGCTACAAGGTAGTGACCTGTTTCTTATGCTTGTTACTCTTGACCAAATGATGAGATGAGACAAAGTGTTTGTACAATACATTTTATTTGAATTCGATTGATGCTTTTCCTCCAAAGTGAACACATATCTCTAGCAAAAATTTGCATCATTGTTTGCCATGACAAATTAGATAAAAAATGAGGATAATCTGCTTAAAATAAAATTGTATTAAGTTCATGAAACATGTTCTATAATACAATTTCATTACAAAATTTTGTTAATAAAAATCTGCACATGCACTCACTTTTGGTAGTCTTCGAGGCACTTAATTTTAACACTCAAACAGTGAATGGGTAAAACTCTTTATATCTATTAAAAGCATGGTACATACTTTTGCACTTGTGTAAATACAGATAGAAATGTATGTGCTTATGTAAATGATAAATGTGCTTATTGTCAAAATAAGTAACACTCCAGCATACCATTGTGCAACTTTTTTAGTTTACTTATATGTGCACCTGTATTGAATGTGTACTTCCAATAGAGCAAGGTTATGGTATTTTATTGGTTTAAATTAAGTACTCCAGCTGCCAAAAAATAATACATGTGTGCACTGTATTTCTGAACTCAAACTGCCAAAAATGTAAAACAAATAACATTGAAGAGGAGGTGCACTTTATCGGAAAAACACTATAAAATTTAAAGGAAGAGGAAATTTATAATGAATAAAATTATATTCATATATATCATGTATTCATATATATCCAAAATAGATATGTAATTCATTCTATAAGGTTGTAATAAAGAATTTTCTTATCTTATATTGCACAACTTTCTTTAGTATACTAGTACATAAACTGTACAAAAATACGAAATTATTTAATTATATGAGTTTAAAAACATTTTCAATAGATTGATCACAAGAATACTTGGCATTTTTCAGTTGAGCAAAACACAATTAAAAATAATCATTATTCCTCTCACCACAACCTGTTTGTTGCACATCCTTGGCTAAGATACAAGTAAAACACATATATGGTATGTGATTGAATGTACAGACCATTCTCTCCCACCAGAGTATTTTTACCGCCCACTTCTTGGAGGCAACCATCAGTTGCCGAAAGAGAGCGTGGTTTGCGATTATGGTACAGACAGTCAGGTATAAGCATAAGCATAAGCATAAGCAACTGGTATATAAAATTGTAAATGCAATTACAATGTGATTGAAGCTCACCATTAAGTTCAATTTTAATACTTTGTACAATTTTTGTTAAAAAAGTGTTAAAAATAATAAATCCAAATAAAGGATGCTGTTTAAATAAAAACATATATATTGATTGTATAATATTTGTATAGTTTTTGATTACAAATCTATTCCAAATATAGGTTACTTCTTGTGTATATACAAATTTACGATATACATTTACGATATACTTGAA